AGGCCTTTTGGAAGCTAGATAAAATGCACCCTATTTCATATATTCAGTGTTTTATCTATAAAAAACCACTGTCTTCTTAAACTGTCAGTCAAGATATTGAGACCTAACAAGGCATGAAAGCTGAAAAATTATGTTTAATTTATGTAACTTTACCATAATACAGGTTAGTTAAACTGTACATTCAGTGTGTCCATAGAGATGTTGTGCCGATTTAAAAGGGATTTTAGCCTAATAATATAATCTAATCTAATGGATGGATTTACTTCTACTGCAGAATATTTCTCTGGACAGCTGTATTACTGTCTTAAGTCAGGACTACAGCATGCTGACAGCACAGGACAAAGTCTTACTTTGATGTTTCTTTGTCAGCTTTGTAAAAGTAGTGGCCTGCAGGTTCAACAGGATTGCTGTTGTCCAGTATAAACCAGAGTTGAGTGTGCTTAAGTCACTGATTGCATTGCATATTGCTGATTGCATAAAAAACAAAAGTGGAACTTTAGAATAAGTCTGTCTCATTTTGGGAATGAGTTGAAGGTTAGTCAAGATGAGACTTCTTTAAGGGAAATAAACAATAGTACTGGGATTTGCATCCAGTTAGCTAAGTCCCTTCATAAACACGCCTTTTGAATAAATAAGTGTTTGTCTTTTAAGGCTGTTTGAGATGGAAATGCATGCTTTTTTGTACACTGAAATATGTGTTCTGAAAGTCTCCACAAGTCCTGCATTTCTGGATAGTGATGATAAATACTGTAGACTTCTTAAGTTATATGCTTTTTTTCTTCCTTTCCTTTTTTAGTTGTTGGAAAGATCAAGGAAATGATGGAAGAAATTGAAAATGCAATCAATGCTTTTAAGGAGGAACAGAGGCAAATGTAGGTTTATACATGCTTCAGCTACTAGAAAAAGGGCTTTTATAAGACACAATGAAAACTTTGGATTAATCTAGCAAACTGTTCTTATGATTTACTCTTTTGGTAGTGATTCCTGTGGTCTGTAAATCAAAGCACAAGCTATCGGCATTAGAATCTTGATAAACTGTCTTTTGGAGAGGGTGTTTATACAGCTATTGCAGCATTCCGGTGTAACAACTATTTGCCTATGAATAGGCTTTTTATGAGAGGCTGTAGAAGAGATTAGCTTGTGGGGGTTCTGTTGTTGCCCTTTCGTTGTCTAAGTGGATTTGGGGGGGTTTCTTTTTCTCTCTGCTGGTGTCAGGAGGGGATTGAGTTAATTGTATGCGTGCCATAAATGTGTTCTTTCAGTAAAATGGTAACTCAATTCTCATTGTGTAGAGCTTTATTATGGGATCATTACAACCCTGCTGTTACCACTTCAGTTCTTGATCTTTGAAGAATAGCTCTTGTGTGGCACTGAACAATTCCAAAATTCATTTTTGGTGAATGGACAATGAATACTGGATTTTTCTTTCTTCTCACATTTCAGTGTCTGTCTCTTTTCAGATATCAACAGCTTTTGAAAGAGGAAAAATCTGTCATTTATGAGCTCAGTCTCTTTGAGAGAAAAGTGGAACTGTGGGCATTAGGGAACTCAACAGCAGAAAAAGTTCAGAGATTACCATCAGCCAAGGTCACAGTTGATAAAACATTGGAAAATCATTTACCCGCAGAAGTAATAGAGTTTGAAAAATTTCTTCAGCGAACAGGGGGACGGCAAGGAGGCTGGGATGATTATGATCATCAAAATTTTCTGAAAATACGGACAAAATATAGAGGAAGGCTGTCTTACATGGATGAAGCCCTTGAGTATCTCAGCGGAAGAACAAAAGAAGATATAGAACAGCATGACAAATGGTATCAAGAATATGTAATTTTACATGAAAGAAAGAAAGAGGTAAAAAAACATTTCTAAAGCTTTTGAAGATTTCAGAAAACGTACTTATTTTTGAAATGCATAATCTTGTTTTTGTATCTGCCTCTCTAGTAGTAGTGTGCTAGGCAGATTTCTCTTACACTTGATGATATATAACTGAGGTCTTTAGCATCCCCAACCTCCCATAGTATGTGTCTTTAATAAATAATTACAAATAAACAAAGACATAACAACACAGAGAAGTGGACTGTGTATTGCCAAAGTATATTACAAATGCTTTTGGAGTCAGTGATCTAGCAAGTTAGATGCCAAGCCCAGAGCAGTTAGTGATCCTGTCTTCCTGTTACATTTGCCTCTAAGAATATCTGTCCCACTGTATAAGCAATACACCTAAGACAGACTGACATGCACAATTACAATTCCCTCAAGAATTATCCTAGTAATAAAAGATACTCTGACATAAGAACTACCATGCAAGAGTGGGTTAATTGGGAAAAAAGTAAGAACTGAAATAAGTTTGCATTAAAAAAGCATATTGCATCAACATTCAAACTGCCCAAAGTTATTATGATTGCTGTAACTGAAACAGTTTTAGCAGACACCTGTTAAACCTGCTTGTGTGATCCATAAAATAGAAAAAAAAAAGAGAGAAAAGACACGTAAGTGCTTCTAGGTTTTAAGTTTTGCTTTCAGTAGACTTTTAATTCCTTTGTGCATTTTGTGACCTTGGAACAAATGTCTTCATCAAACTGAATCAATGTGAATATGTAAAATTTTCATGAAAAGCTTGGATTTTTTCCTATGATCTCTTGCAGTCAATTAAAAGGTGGAAAGAAAAGCAGCAGCAAGAAAAAGAAAGAAACTTGAAGGAGAAAAAGAAATCAGAAAAAATGCTCAAGGAAAGATGGCTACAGCGTGAAGAAGCTCAGAAACAAAAAGCAGAAGAAGAAAGTAAAAGGAAACAAGCCCGAGTTGAAGTCTGGAAGAAACACAAAGTAGTAGCATTTGCAATAGATCAACCATCACACCTAAAACTAGAAGAGAATATGCAACAAAAAGAGCGCCAAAGCCATGTGAAGCTACTGTTAGAAAGGAATACCTTGCAAAAAAAAGTAAAGGAGAAACTTGAAAAGCTCGAAAATGGGAAGAGAGAGGAAACTGAAAAGGAGGGAAGGAAGAAAATTGCTGCAGAAGAAATTTCTAAGTTTCAAGAGCATGTGCGTAATTTCATCTCTGTTTTTGTATGTCATTGTTTTAAATTTGATACATCCTCCTACAATATATCAGTTAAACAGGTTTTAAAATCCAAGTTTCATTCATATAAATCCATTATTGATTAATTACAAATAACAGCATCTATTGCAGACAAACAGTATGAAACCTGATTTTAGACAAAGATGCTCCTATTCTTCAGTATCTAAATTACTCAAGCTTATATTCCTTTATCCATATAGAAGTGGTTTTATTTCATCAGTAAATAATTTATTTGATAAAAACTACTTGGGCTATGCTGCCTAAGAAGACATCAGAGGACCTGAGTGTTTATTCAGGTGGGAGGTAGAAAGAGCTGTTCGAATAACCTGTGGGTTTCAGTATCTGATAGGCAAAGTCAGATCCCGTATCAATGGAAATGCAGTTCCTGGAGAGTTGATATTATTGTCAGCATTGACATTAAAGTTTTATAAACAGAGTTTAAACTGCTATTTTTTTTCCCAAGCCATGTAACTATAATTTGTTTGTGCAGGACAAGTTATATAACATGTAGCTACCTAGTGAAACCTTATTCTTTGCCATTACGATAATTTCAAAACAAAAACAAACAAACCCACCAAAAAACACACCAAAAAAAACCCCTCAAAAAGACCCCAGTTAAAAAAAGCTGTGAAAAGGCTGTATATATATTTTTAAATAGTTTGTTTTATTTAAAAAGAAAGGTTTACTTTTCCACTCATGTTTCAGGATCTACGTGAACTGGAGCTAAGGGTTTTACAGAAACATGCTAAAGAGATAGAGGAACAAGAAAAAGAAAAAAGATTGGCAAAGTTAAGAGAGAAGGTAACTTTTTGTTTCAACCAGAGATGTGTGCAGCTTGGTGGTTTAAGCAGACTTTTTTTCATTGATCTAAAAAGCAGTTGTTTTTAATTATCTAAATGGTTGATAAAGGAAAACAAAAAGCCACGCCTGTTATCAGGAGACAGAATTGCAGTAGGCATAGTAGTTCCTGTGTTTAAAAAAACCGGGGGGAAATCCCTATTATTTATGTATCTCATGGCAGCATTTCACTGGGTAAGGCCTATAGGTCATAAAAGCTGATATATGGGTAGTGGCTTTTATTTTTTTCAAATAGTTTTCTACCACTGGTTAAATAAGAAGACTTATTTTGCATGCACTGGGTTTTAGAGGATTTTAACCTTTTGAATTATTAAAATTTAATGACAGCAAGTGGTGTCACCGTCTTCTACGGTGAAGACCCAACAAGCGCCATGCAATTCCTTTTGTGATGACCGGAAAAGAGTGATTATTTTTGGCTGGTTGTTTCTCTCTGAGGTCGAGATTCGGGTCACCAGAGACCGAGCCAGGTTGAACAGACCTTCCAAGGGCTGGGAGGATCGCAGGCAAGAGATGGCACCAGCAGCTGGAGAACCGCTGCTGCGCGTTTCCCAGAGGTGAGGAGGGGACCGATGGACGCGCAGCATGACACAAGTGCACTTGTATGCTTTATGCCTTTTTGCTTTCTTGTCAGAGCCGTCCCAGCCTGGAAAGGAGGGTCGTAGCTGCGCGCCAGCCTGTCCGTGTCGCAGGAAGAAGCAGCAGCCAGCGCTTCCCGGGAGCCGGCACAGAGCTGGCTTGACCCATGGCGTGTGTTACCTCTGTATTTCACGAGTGTCGGGTTCGACACGCCGGCTGTCAGACCGGCCGGCTGTGATGTCCCTTGGCATTAAAAGCGCCTTTACCCCGCAGGTGGTTGTGGCGGCCCCTTAAGCGTGCGGTCGCCACCCTGGCCCCCTCCGCAGTGAAGCAAGGCGCCCGTTCCCTTTCCTTAGCCCCTTTCCTTTCCCCGCTCCGTCCCCCTTCCGTTTCCCCGCCCCGGCGCGGGTGACGCGATCCGGGCGCGCCGGGCGCGGGCAGCAGCGGCGGCGAGATGGAGATGGCGGCGGCGGCTGCGGCGCCGTGCCCGGGGGAGCCGGAGCGCCTGGACTTCCTGCGGGAGCGGCACGTGCGCTTCTTCCAGCGGTGCCTCCAGATCCTGCCCGAGCGCTACTCGTCCCTGGAGACCAGCAGGTAGCGGCGGGCCGGGCTTGTCCGGCGGGCCGGGCGCCGCCGTGTCCGGCCGGCGCCCCCCGCCCGTCCCGGGCCCGGCCGCGCTCCCCTCCCTCGGGCGGTCGCGGTGATGGGAAGGCCCTGCCGGAGCGCTGCCACCTCCCGCGGCCCGGGACAGGGAGCAGCGCCCCGCGGCCGGAAGGAAAATCCTTATTAATCTGCCCACCAGCAGACGGCTCCCAGAAAATATGTGTTAATGTAGGGGTGTAGTCACTGCTCGCGTAAACTGGTTGACATCCACGAGGGAAGACTTGTTGATCCTTCTAATCTGTTTTAAATCCAGTGCTTCGCTCTCTTAATCCGCCCTGGAAGCCATTTTAAAATAAATCACTTAAGCTTCGCTTCTGCACGCTTGTTCATGTAACGTACTTGTTCATGTAACAAATATTTTTTAAGTCTTCATTATCTAGTGTAAAAGAGAAAATACTAGTGCAGTACGTTCCTTACTTTAAATTGGAGAGACACTTGTTCCTCTAATGGCTTCAGAATGTACTTATTTGATATTCTTCAAGTCTTCACGTGAGATAATTACATCGGAGGTGTAAGAATACCAGGAAGGTGATTACCAAGCTGCACTTGATAAAATATTGGTGACACGTAGATGGTTTGATAATCTTATTCAGACAATAAAGTAGTAAAATTCTTTCCACTTTATAATGCCATCCTGTGAGGAATGAGCCATGGCTTTGATCAGGTCATCCTGCTTTATTTCAGTTCAGAGCACAAACAGCTAGGACTAGAGCAGATAGAGCTGGGCTGTGTGTGAAATAACACAACTTTATATTGGAAAGTTAGAAATGGAGCTATTGGAGAGGGGCCAGCAGAGGGCTTTGAAGATGGTTAAGGGACTGGAGCATCTGTCCTGTGAGGAAATGTTGGGGGAGCTGGGCCTGTTCAGTCTCAAGAAGAGATGACTGGAGAGGGTCTTGCCAATGCATTCAAATACGTTAAAAGGTAGGTGGTGAGAGGATGGGGCTTTAAGTGGTCCCTGTGCCAGGGCAAAGGGCAGCAGACAGAAACACAGGAAGGTCTATCTCAATATGAGAAAAAACTTCCTCACATTATGGGTGACTGTTCACTGAAACAGATGGCCCAGAGAGGTTGTGGGGTTTTCTTCCCTGGAGATATTCAAAACCTGCCTGGACACAATCCTGTAGAAACTGCTCTGAGTAAACCTGCGTTAGGAGAAATGGGTCGTACTAGATGATGTCCAGAGATCCTTTCCAACCCTGTAATGTGAAATTTTGATTGCAGAGCTGTAAATCACTTATATTCATTAGAAATTAGCTGGTGTTTCAGTCTACTTTCTCATTTATTTAGGTGGCAGCAAGGGGAAATCTAGGCCTCCTATGCTCAACGTTTATAGACCTTAAAATTACCAGAGCATGCAGATGTACTAGAGCAATGACACAAATAGCTAACGTTAACCCCACTGACATTTGAAAACAGCTGAAGAAATGGGATGTCTTCAGCTTCGAGAAGGAGGCATCTAATCACAGTCTTCCTGGTGGGAAACTACTTACATAGAAAGATAGATGTGTACTATGTGCAAGATACCATTGTGATGGGGCTGGAGACTGTGGGAATGAGGGGAGAATTGTGTGGCCGTAGGAAAAATGTTCTTTGCTGTTAGAAGAGTTAACCGTGAAAGGCTTGCCTATTGAAGTGATGGAGTCACCTTTGAGGACCTGGCTTCTCAGGGTCCTAGGTGATGTCCTCTGAGGTCCCTTGTTCTTGAAAAGGTGGGACCAGTGATCTCCAGGGGCCCTTGACAACGTAGACATGTTCTGCAGGGTTGCATACCTGTCTATTGACAAATTCTTAGCAGAGGATTGAGCCATAAAAGCATCCTCTCCAGTTTAACTTAAAAGGTATTCAGTTTACCTTTTTGCCAAGTTCAAGGTCACCGAGTTCAAAAAACCTTCAGCAAACCTCTGGAATTGATACAGGTGCAGAAAGAAATGCTCTTACTCTTTTATTCGTATTTCCCCTGTTCCTGAATTGGGGTGGTTCCATTTTGATTTAGATGGTGAAACTCAACTGAATTAAAGGGAGATTTGTTAAATAAATAAATAAAGTCGTTTGTCAGTTGTTTTGTTTTTTTTCCACTGTGCTGCAGTAGAAAACTGTTGTCACCAAACAAGGGTGGTAGAGAATGAAATTTTCTTCAATGTGCTGGTGCATTCCAACTTAAGCTGTAGCTTGTCAAGCAATAACAGAGAATAAAGAAAATCAGTTTCATGTTCTCTGCTCAACTTCTTGCCTCAAAGCCTTTGTAATTATTCTTATCTGTAGTTATTTGCATGCAACAGTCGTTGCAGCACGAGTAGTTTTTAAACATTCTGATTGATAGTGTTTCATATTCGGTGATTGTCAGCACTGTGAGGGTTTGCAGGAGAATGCGGCTTTCCTGGTCTCTGAAGTCTTTCAGATTCTGATACTTCATGGTGCTCTTTGTAGCACACTTTATCAGTTTCTCAAATTTGTCACTTCAAATGCTTTCTGAATTCTTCTGTGAAACTATAGTCTTTGTCCATGTTTGATGACAAAGGGATCTGAATCTGCCATCTGAAGTGTCTTATTGGCCGTCCTCTGTGGAAATAGCTCTAAATAAAGTTTTTACACTTCTTGGCATGTGTCTGTCACCTGAGGTGCTGCTAAGAGTTGTTTTTGCTAGGACATATGTCTGTTAATTTTCTGTGAGGGAGGATAGCATATGGAGTAAAGATGCAGTATCTAAACCTGTGTGTGACCACTGGTGCCAGACACTCTTGTCCACCGTAAGTAAATTCTGTCACACTACAGGCTGTTCTTTAGTAATGCTGGAGACAGACAGTCAACTCTGAATAAGTGAACTGAACCGTTATTATATGTAAAACCTTCCAAAATTCATGTATCTGACATACACATTTTTAACTGTAGACGAGATTTGCTGTCTGTGTTGTATGTATAGCCTTGTGGTTTGGCCCTGCTTTCAGCAGTTTCTAGTGCTAATGTTGACATGTTGTGCCTCATTGGAAGTAACTTAGCTGGGTAAAATAGAGTGAAAATGTCTTTTTAATAGTTTTAGTAAAAGATTTTCAGTATTCATGAAAATCAGAATGTACAGGTAATGTTTCAAATAAATAGTTTATGGTAACTGAACGGTAACTTGCTTGTTTTTGTTTTTTTTTTAATAAAAGTAATGATTCTTTTTAAAATTAGTTTTTTATTATCCAGGGTGAGCTTTTGGGTTAAACAGAGATTTGATCAATGGTAAAAGTTGATATAAACCTTGAAGTATTAATTTTGCACTTTGAAAGACAATTTCTTAATCATCAGAAGGGTTAAAACATACTCTTGTTTTTCATAGAAATACCTTTGTGTGCAACATACTTTTTTGGCTTTCTCTGTTCAAAATAATTATTTGAAATAATAACAGTAAACATATATATTTTACCAACCCACTGGTAGTAATGTCACCCTAGGAGGTTGTGCCACTTTGTTGAGATTAGCATCTGCTGCATTGTCATTTGGCTGCAGTGTTTTAATTTTTAGATGTGTTCTTTGGGCTGACTCACCACCATTTTTTCTGTGGTCTTACTGTTTGTGGTTCTGATGCAGAACCTCATACAGAAATTAAGTGGCTGTGGATTCTCCTGTCCACATCTGCCTCTTCAGAGGTACCAACTACTGGTGACCAAAGTGGCTCACCAGTTTGTGAGATGAATACAAATTAAAACTTAATTTCGTAAGGAAAGTTTTTATTAACTGTTGATTTTCGTTGACATGCTGAATTATAGTTTCTGCATGTGTAACAGTTGTTTCAGAATCTATCATCTTGTCTGGTTTAAGGAGAACAAGAATTTCTAGAAGGATCAGCAGACAAATGTCTAGCTAATTTTAGTTTGAGTCAGAACATCCAAGGTACCATTACATGATCATTTTCTCTCATAGCAAGTTCTCCCAAGTTCCTAACCCAGTGCTATTGCTTTGGTGCTCTGTCAGAGTGAGTAATGCACTGTTGGAGGGCCATGCCGTGGGTGGCTGCAATGGTTTCTGCCAAAACAAACCCAGCAAAGGTGGTGTTAGTTAGCAGGTATGATAGCACGCATTCATGGAAGGAAACAATTTGTAGGAAAGAAGAACATTCAGCATGCTAGCTACTCCACTGCTCTGTTGGATACTTGAATGTGACATGCTTAATTTTAGACGTTTTAAGTAAGGTAGTCATCTAGGCTGCTTTACACTCAAGGACCAGAAATAAGTAACTCTAGATATTAATTAATCCTATATGCCTATTTATGCATTGTTTACTTACAAAGTATGCTTTTCTGCTTGACAGTGACATTAAGCATCTGAACTTGGGTTTGGGACATGATAAGAGGCAGCTTACTGTAGTTAAATGTTACCTTGCATATGCACCTAATGCATGTTTAGGGGATTGTTCATGTAAGAATTCTTCACAGAGAGCTAGTGCTCCGTAAGTTAATTCCATAACCTACATAAACCAACTTTGTTGGGGTTTTCTTTTGAGTAAACAGATGCTTAAGTAAATTTTTAATTGACATATCATTATTATATAAAAGGACGGAAATTTATATGAAAAACCTTTTTGAGGCAGAGAAATGTTTTCAGTACAAAGAGCATTATTTTGTCCAGTAGATGACTTTCATGTATTCTAAGCCAGCTCTGTGTTGCACCACTGTCAAAGGCTGAGAATTCATAGATGTATCTGTTCCTGCAACCGTTTGTTAATTTCCCCATGATATTTATGGTGGGAAGTGTAAGTCTTATCTTTTTCTTTTAGGTTGACAATTGCATTTTTCGCACTCTCTGGTCTGGATATGTTGGATTCCTTAGATGTGGTGAACAAAGATGATATAATAGAATGGATTTATTCCCTGCAGGTCCTTCCCACAGAAGACAGTGAGTGAGTTTTTAGTTTTTTTATTTATATTAACATTTTTGCTTTTGCTTTTTACTTGGGGAATAGTGGATGGCTCTTGTTTTTATAAAATACAAAGTTAACCTTTCTGAAGTGCAGTCCTGATAATTTCAGGCAGTGATGTTGAGCAAATTCTGGATATGGATCCTTCACAAGTAGTAAAGCTGGGAAAAGCAGAAATTAATTTGAAGATAAGCCAGTATAAAATAGTATAATAAAGTTGCACCTTTAGGCGTTTCAGAGGAATGTGTCACCTGGTTCTAAAAGAAATGCATATGATGTGAAAGTATTACAAGTCTAATAGTGATTTTATTGACTTCCACTCCAGTGCCGGGAGCTGTGATCACAGGTGTGGTTATTTACAACACCTTTTGGAGAATTTGAGGTGTAAGGGTAAGAAGCAAAAAGGATAAACATAGTCCCTGGTTGATGTTCCTTAGATCTGTGAAGACTGAATTTACCCAAGGTTTTGAGAAGGAATAATGCTGCTGCTGAATCCCAGCTGTCCTCAGATTAAAAGGTGCATAGCAGAAAACCTGGCAAGGGAACTCACAGGAAATGTCCCTTTCCTGGTTGATTTGACAGAAGTTACGGAGGTGCTGTTCCTGTGGGCTAGTTGGTGTTGGCAGTTTTTGTCTGTGGCAGCCCAGGTGAATGGCTGGTAGCGCTAGAAGGGGTGGGAAGGAGAGAGGGAGACGTGGGTGAGGCACTGCTGCTCTATGACAGAAGGTGCTGGCATGTTAAATGCTGGTATGGGCATAGTTCCAGGCTGATTGTCTCTAGAGAAAAGGCAATTCCAGTTGCCTGTCTGTAAAATCATGAACGTGTGCTTTGGATGGGTGTAGAAAGAAAATGGTGTGTTCTATTATCTATTCTAATTATATGCAACAAATTAGATTTCTATAATCAGTTTTATGAAATAAGCAGTTGGAAGTCAGGATTGCTGATGCTTTATTTCTACAGTAATAAAAAAAATCATTTTTCTTACTCTGGAGTTTTAGAAAGCATCAGATCCACTACAGGAATTAGTTCTGATAGATTTCTTTTTTCTTGTATTGTATTCCAGGATTGATTCTCGAAAATTTGGAGTTAGGATTACATAAATAGTCCTACAAAACTTTTTAATGATTAGAAGGTTCCTTTGCCTTACTGTTAAGAAATATTTTCATGATGTACATGCTTTGTTTCTAGGAGTTGCTCACTTTGTGACTTTTATCCCAGCTTTCGGGACATAATTCCAAAAGAAAAGAGAAGTTTGCAAGAAGAGAGATTAGAACAGGCATTTCTATTTGCTTGTCTTTGACAGTATGCAGAAATTCTCTGGGGATTCTACCTGGCCAGTGTTTAGAATATTGCTATTGTCTAAAGCCTCCTAGGGAAGGCAGTAAAAATCTCAGCGTGCAGATGCGAAGGCCAGCAGTTCAGCAGAGATGTGCTCCTTTTTTTCTAGCTATCATCTCCTCATAAAACTTAGAGGAGTTTTGGGGAGGGCACTTCTGGCAGCGCACTCTGTGCTTGTTCAAATAATTAATCTCTGCATTTCACTGGAAGAACAAGCTTCTCTTCAGTCCTTTATTTTTGTATCATACTGTAATAACTCTTGTTCTTCTTACGCTTTTGGTAATAACAGTACTTTTATCTGGTCACTTGACTGCTAAAACTTCAGCGTTATTTGTATTTCGTCTTTGCTTTTTCTATTGGACAACAGAAAGTGCAAAGTGTAAATGATGCTGATAGCAACAGGTTGGATATTGAATGACTAAATGTGAAAGAGGGAATACCTACACTCTGGTAACGTCTACTTTCAGTAAAATATATTGGCTCTCTGTTTTTTAATCCTGGGTGGATGCAGTGCTTGTTAATTGGCAGCCTCCCAGCAGCAGAGCTCCTACTCCCTCTTTCGGCCTCTTTGAAGAAGTAACTAAACTGTGGTAGGCTACAGCGCTGAAGTTTTTGCTTTCAAAGTGCTTGTGCATCTCTAGTTAAAGAGGAGATTGCTGGTTTGATGGATTGGAATCTGTCCAGGCTAAAAAAAAAAACAAACCCCACACGCAAAAGACCAAAATCAAGGAAGCACAACATTTTACTTTTAAAGCAGCATGCTATTGCAGCATTTTTTTCATGCATTCTGATAAATCTCTATTTCCATGGAATATTGTTTTTTAAAAATTTAAATTAAAATACTGTTTTATAATGATGAATTCCACCAATCTAAAGTAACTGCATTGTATTCGACAAAAGTCTTCACTAAGTTTGGCTCTGGGACTGAAAACCTATTTTAAGGGTACATTTTAATAGGAATATGTTTTTACAGAATCTTAGGGTTTGTTCTTGATTGCATCAATGGTTGAATTTCTAAAATTTGGTGTCAGTCTAAAAGAGAATTCCTGCAATTCATATTAGAAAAATAAATTTCTCTGCTTTTCACGTTTGTCCCTCCAAAGGTTCCTTTATGCACAGTTCTTGATTTTTATTTAAAGCATTTTTTAAAGATGGTAAATTCAAATTGTTTTGAGAACTACTGCTACCTTAAATCTTTTTTTTCCAGTGGATGGGAAACAGCAGTTGATGCTCCACAAACTTAGTATCTGGGGTTTTTTTTATCAATAACTGTTACAGTAGGTACTGGCTGGGCTAGAATTAAATTTTTTCATAGTAGCCGCTAATCTTCTGTGTTTTGAGGCTGGTATTAAAAGAGTGTTTTAGTCTTTTAGCTGCTGTAGAGCAGTGCCAATCGAGGCTGACTCTTTTTGCCTCCTCTGTACTCCTTTTCCCATGGCAGATACAACAGGGGACACAGCCAGGACAACTGACCAAGGCTGACCTCAGGACTGGCTGGAGGGACACCCCACACTATCTGACATCGTTTTCAGCAATAAAAGCTTGGGAAAAGAAGGAGAAAGGGGGCAATATTTGTGGTTCTGGCATTTGTGTGTCTGAGTTACCCTTACACTTGCTGAGGCCCTACTTTCTGGGAAGTGGCCATACACCTGCCTGGCTGGGGGGAAGTAATAAATTAATTCCTACTTTGCTTTGCTGTGTGCCCACAATTTCTGCTTCACCTGTCAAACTGTCTCTGTCTCACTCTCTGAGTCTTCTCTTCATCTCTCCGTTTTCTTGCCTCAGCTGCTGGTTGGAGTCAACCCACCGCAGGAGTGTTACAGAGCCCACTAGAAAATACAGAATTTGGTGGTTCAGAGTGCTTCTTAGACAGTCTCACTATACCCTATGATAGTTTTAAGTGATATGTTTGTATTTACTAGTATGTAATATATCTGATTGCTAATGATAGCTTCACTTCAGAGGTTTGTAGCCTTTGAAATTTTATGTGAAACTAAAGCTCACTAATGCTTAAGTGGTGAGATCTTAACCTACTGAGTAAGGAAACAAACATGCTCTGTAAGCCTAATCAAAATGCACTTAAGGAAGCTGAAAATTAGGGTCTGTCAGGATAGACTGTATTCTTCTGTGGGTTTATTGTAGCTGTGATTCAAACAAATAATGTCCTCTAGGTACCATAATTTTAACTCAGGTTTTCCAGAGACTTGTTCTAATTCACGGGGAATGGCATGGCATGTGTGCAAACTGACCCTCACACAGAAACACATTCTTAGCTGAATGCTTCCACTTACTGCTGCCTTCTGCTTGTTCGAAGGGCTCCTGTCTTTTATAACTCAGGCTAAATAGTTTGGCTTTATCTTGCATAGGTTTTGGACATTGCTACCTTTCCTTCCCTTTTAGTGAATGCTTTGCTTAGGTGCATAGCTACTATGTGTGTTTTGTGTGTTCACAGCAAGAAGACCTGTTTCCTTTTAGAAAGAAGTTGAAATCTTAAGTGCTTTTTTTTTTTTTTTCATTTTGAGGAATTCTTTTACAAGCCTCAACCAGAAATGATAACATTTTAAGATTAACACGTTATTTTTTGAAGTGTTAGTTAAATTGGGAAAGGGTTGAAAAACGCCCTCTTTTAACTAGTTGCTGTTCTTAAGATCCTTATCGTGTCACTGTTTTACTGGTTTTGTTCTCATAGTGGACCTCCTTGACAGAATTTCAAGTTTATTTTAACTACCTAAAGTGCGACTAACAGCAATTTAAGAAATACATATTCCAGTTTCTTCAAGTCACATTCAGAGCCAGTTCAGCATTTTTAAAAGAAAGTGAATCCAGAGCTTTATACCCAAGTAGTGTAATTGCACAGTGGAAGCACACTGCTTGGCGGTATTCATATACCATCCTCCCCCACAGGAACAGTGGTATTTGTTTGACCCTGCTTGAGAGCTTGCTGAAGTGGCAAAAAAACATGCATTTATTTATCTAACAGAAGGTTAGCTTTGTGTTGCATTGGTGAACTGTGTTGATTGGGAGTGCCAGTGCCAGTCCACTAAGGGAGAGGGAAGAAAATCATACTTTTTGACAGCTGGATGCTTCACTAGCTTTGCTGTACTAAGAAATGGAACCAAAAGGAACACTGGAACATATTTTATTTGTTGATCTGAATCCCCAAGACTCATGGATACCAGACTGAAAACCTATGTATGCTACATGACAGACCTAAAACTTACTTCTCTCAAAGTCTAAATTTAGATTTGTATTAATGATTCTTTCTTCTAATGTATCAGTACTGAAAAACAAGTATAAAATGACACTGCATTTTTTGAAATCATTGATACATGTGAGCTTTCTGATTATGAGTTCCTTGAGCAAAAGTACAAAATTTCCCATAACTTTCTTTTATGGCTACATTTGAAGTATTTATCTGAATGTGTAATGGACTTCCATTTTAGAGAATGCAGCTTTGCATTTACTGACATCCTCTAGTGCTTTGATTTACAGGAAAAATTACAAGCTCTAGTTCAGTTAGAAGAGCTTATCCTTACTTTTGTTTGAATGTACTGACTGAATCAGCCTATGTTAAAGCTATGATTTTTTTTATATATTAGAAGATTTTAGTTATATATGTAAACTCCTGTACTTAGTGAAAGGAGACAAGCCTTGCTGCCAGAGTAATGCATGGATAATCTGAATGTGGAGAAGTAGTGGTAAAGGTTTATCAATCCTTCCATGCAAGAGAAATCATAAAATATAAATAACAAAAATGCCCTGTCTGTAAAAAAAGACCTCTTAGGATAAGCTGTCTGTGGTCATCACTTGACGCTCTTTTACGTATTTTAAGGACTTTCTGGCTTAAGGATGCATAAGTAACATTTTTGTCTTCACAGGAAAGTTTCAGCTCTTGATTTAAGCATGAAGTTCTTTGGTTTTGGAAAAGGGTCAGTTTTCTTTAGTTGTCAAATGTGACAGGCATGGTTTTTCAGCTTTCAAACCACCACAAATAGTTACACAGCAGTTTATGAAGTATTTGTTAGTTTTTGCTGTGTCTTAAGCTTCTGCAAAAAGTGGCAAAGTAAGGTTAATGGTGGAAGTGAACACCAGGGGGTTCCATTTCACAGCTGCAGCTGAACTGGTGCACAGCAAGGAGCTGGCTACCCCAGCAGTTTTTTCCCAAGGGATATAAGCTGTGATCACATGCTTTTAATTTGGGTCTATTTAATTTTTAATTCTGTTTCTGATTCTGACCACCCAGTTTTAGTTCAGGAAAACGAAAACTTTGATTAGCAATGCTAAGCTATTATATAAAACAGGAAGTACAAGTACATTGCAACAAAATAGTAAAGGCAGCTTTACAGAAGATGAAATTTCACATTGTAAAGTTTCTTTCATAAATTGAAAGACAGTAATTTCCTGTAACTCGCCTTTGATTCTTACTTGGTTTTCAAATTATATGTTCACAGGATGCTAAAAAAACATATTGAGACACTACCTCAGTGTTCCAGAGTCATGTGGTTAAAAACAAGGTTTTTTCACTTCCTGTTTTAATGCTTCATAGAATTCTATTTTTTACTTCACGTATTGTGACTAGAGATTTAGCAACTCACTGGTAATACCTTGTAAAAAGTCTAGGAAGCATCTCTTGCAGGCACATTAATGTATTTGAGCATAGGATAAAATTACCTGCAAAGTTTGCCCTGAAGTTTTCCCTAAAGAGCATGCTGGTCTTCTGTTTTTCCTAGGAGCCAGTGTGTAAAGTTTAGAGTGGGAGATGAGAAGTACTGACAAAAAGTGTCAAAATAAATTTTAAATTCATAGCAATACAGTTAAAAGTCTAACTTTAAATCCAATTTTAAAATTGCAAATGCTATTTTCTAGTTGATAGAAGTTTAGTACTACAAGAAAGGTTTTGAAACGCTACATGAAAATTGAACATCTAAAGGGAGTAATAGATCATGATTTCATTATGAACTTTATTTTTAATCTATTTGTGTATAGCATCTGTGAATTTTGAAGACAATCAAAGTGACCCTGTAACAGCACATAAACTTGGGTTTCATGCTGCTATTTCTGCCTTGATAATGAATTACAAGCTGCACTCCAAAAGGCCAGTGATGGGGATCAGTATTTCTGGGGTGAATCCTTGCATCTAGCAACTGTCAGCTGAGTTTTGTTCAGCTGCAGAGCTGTCTTAATTGTAGCATGTCTCCTTTTGCAGCAAGCCAGAATAGCTGTGTTAGTAGCATAGTAACTCTTTTCTGGATGAAAGGTTTCCACACTAGTATAATTTAAAAGTGTGTATTCTAGTTTGCTTAAGCACTTTGGACACAGATTCAATTTTACTGAAAATGAACATGAATGGTGATTTTTTTCTTTTTTTTCACAGTGTCACTTAGGAAATCTGGGACTTACCGGGCAGGAATTTTAGGTCTTCTCTTACTGATTTGTTCACATTGTGTCATTTTTGAAATTGTGATGCTTTTTTTGGGCAGTGTCCTTCAGGACCTTAGATTAGTCTTAAGGACTCATTTAATTTTTTCTGCTTTCCAGAGGCTGAAACAACATGAAATGCAAGCTTTTGACTCTGCAAGTGAACAGACGGATGTTCTCTGCTGAGAATTTTTATATTATAATAAAATAAAACTATTCTTTTTTCTTTCTGTTTCCTCTGAGTGGATCTGACTATGGCACACCAGCTTTAAAACAGGCTGAAGTTGCTTTTGTTACGTGTGTAGTCATTAAAAGGCACTTTTGACTGAACTGTGGAGGAAGTGGAGAATTGTAGGTGCTTTGCTCCATGTCAGTTAGATCCAAAGACTTATCTTGCAGAAAAACTTGCATACTTCAGGCCAGCTTGAAATTCTTAAGCTAATAAAACCTTTCTGGTTTAGATTTTGTGTATATACAGAGTATATTTAGAATTAGAAGGTAATATGTTCCTAAATTACACCAGTCCACATATCATAGTGATGTTACTTAGAGCTTTCAGCTTTATAACTATTCATTTGTATTTATTCAGGTGCAATTATTCCTAATACCCATGAGGATTTTTAGCTTGAAGGCTGAACAACTTAAAAGAGGTGGAGAGAATTTAAGAACACCCAGCTGCTGTTTGAGTGTGGCACTCATTAGGCTTTTAGTTTGAGACACTGAGCAGTAAACGGTTTAGCCATATAAAAGCAAATTTGAGCCCTTCGAAATTTGGTTCACTGTTCTATGTGCTAAATGCTCAGGTATTGTGACACTTTTGAAACAAATTACACTGTATCACTGAGAGAAATCTATGTAGTTACAGTGTACTTAAAACTGCGAATTGTTTGTCCTTCTACATGTTGCGAAGTATCTGAAACAATTCTGCTGGGAACAGACGGTATTACCAGGCAGGAATCCAGAGAGGAATAAAAAAATATGTTAACTCTGGCCATTTTCCCAGTCCTTTTCTCTTTTTTTATCTTGTGAGCATGGAAGACAAATCTGGTGATACAAACTGTATTTCCACCAAATTTTAAAAAGAAAAAATCTGATGCTTTGTGTTTTCTCACTACAGCAGTAAGTAAATTAAGTTTACTTCTGTTTTTTCTCTTTTTTTTGTTATTCAGACAAATTAAGGTTGGGAACTGAGGGACATGCACACTTTATTAAGGCTGTGAATAGTGTTGAACTAATGGGTCTTGATCTCATTAGAGAATTATGGTTTATAATTACTGTTTCAACAAAACAAGTTAGTTGAGTATTGTTTTAATCTTTTCCAGGATCAAACATGAATCGCTGTGGATTCAGAGGTTCTTCATATTTAGGGATGCCATTCAATCCCTCCAAGGTCAGTTAAGAATATATATGTGGAATGTTTTCAATTAGGCAGTAAATGATCTTGGTTTGTTTTATAATTATAACTGCATAATTACGGAATGTTAGAAGACAGGGAATTTTGTACTGTTAATACTGAAATGTTTGCAGACCTTTTAAGAAATGTGTACAAGAAACATATTAAAATGATACCTAGAACTTCAATTCTCACAGCAGTGAAGAATTTATATAACATATAAATTGTGGCATATCTCAGCGCAGTCTCCTCCTTCTCTGGTCTTTTACTAGCAAAGGAAAACTTCTTTAGCTGAAGGTAGAGAAGGGCAGAACAGCCCTAAATAAGTCATGCAGAACATGCTGTTCTTTAGTATGACAGAAAGGTTCAGGTTGGAAGGGACCCTTAAGATCATCTAGCTCCTATCCCCTTGCCACAGGCAGGGACACCTTCCACTAGACCAGATTGCTCAGGACTTCATGCAGCCCGGCCTTGGATGCTTCCAGGGATGGGAATTCCACAGCTTTGGACAATCTGTTCCACTGCCTCACCATCCTCACAGTAAAGAATTTCTTCCTAATATGTAATCTAAAGCTGCCCTCTTTTAGTTTGAAGCCATTCCCCTTGTCCTGTCACTGCTAAAAGTAAAAAGGCTGGTAAAAAGTCTCTCTCTCTGTCTTTCTTGTAGGGTCCCTTCAGGAACTGGAAGGCCATAATTAAGTCTTCTCAAAGCTTTCTCTTTTCCAGACTGACAAATCCAAATTCTTCTAGCCTTTTTGTGCTCCAGCCCTCTAAAGAACTTAGTGGCCTTCTCTGGATGTGTTCCAAGAGGTTCCCATCCTTCCTGTGCTGAGGACCCCAGGGCTGGACACAGCATTGCACATCAGGTCTCACCACAGAGGAGCAGAATCCCCTCCCTGCCCTGCTGCCCACACTGCTTTGGATGCAGCCCAGGACACGTTTGGCTTTCTGGGCTGTGAGTGCTCATGGCTGGGTCATGTCCAGCTTCTCACCCACCAGAGCCCCCAAACCCTTTGCTGTTGATGATTTCTCCCAGTATGTACCCTTCCAGTCTGGGCTTGTCCTTACCTGAGTGTAGGGCCTTGCACTTGGTCTTACTAAATCTCATGAGGTTCTCATTATCCGCTTCTGGAGCTTGTCCAGGTCCTTTGAGGAGGGTGAATCCCATCTGATGCCAATGTGTATGGTGCCATGTAGGCCATCCCATTGCCCAAAAAACACCTAAAATCTTGGCAGTGACACCAGCCAGAGAGGCATGTATTAATAGACTGGGCCTGACTGGTTCTTCCAAAGTCAGCATCTGCAGCTGCAGCTGGTATTTCTCTTCCTGTGTTGAATCATGCATATTTAATTGCACCTGATACCCACCCCGACTTAGGCTAGGCTCTGTTCATCCCTGTTTGTCATGACCCTAAGAAAGCATGCTTTGAAGCCCAGTGAACTGAGGTTCAAGAGAATTAAACTTTCATATGAAAAGAAAATGCCTTTAATAAAAGACAGAAATGAGGTTAGCAGAGATTAATTTAGTGCTCTCATATTTTTCATCCACTTCTCAGTACAATTTGATTCTTTACTCTCAAAGACAGGATAGAACTACTGTACTTCTTTCACAGTCCTTCCTGCACACTGGCCTCTACTTTACTTTTCCACCCGTATCACATCTTTAGCAGCTCTACAGTGTAGTACCTTAAATCAGTGCATACTTTTGGAAACGTTTTTTCAAATCCTCTCCAGTGTATAAAGCTAGAAGATTTTATTCTGGATATAATTCTGATCTTGTAAAGGGCCATGAAGCCAAAAAGTCTATAAGATTGGCAGAGCATTGTTTTCCCCTCCTAGCACTTTCTGGTGTTTTAATTTAATTCTCAACTTCAATAGTAGATGCTTCATACTGAAATATTATCTTTACTGAACATATGTTGCAGTCCATTGATGTCTTAGAATGTGTTGGCCAATAAACATATGAAATAAAGGGGGTGGAATCATGTTACCTGTAGAAATTAACTACAAGGTCACTATCTTTAGAAAATTGTTTGCACATGGATGTGGTTTTTATTCAAGCATTGCAGTTCTTTTTTTCATTGTATCTGCATTTGAGGGCTTGTATCTGTTTGATTTATTGACAAAGAAAGGTCTAAAGCATTTCCAGCACTTCTGCCTGAGATGTTCTAAAATAACCCAGAAAAAAAGACTTGGAAATTCACTGCCATGATTCTGGGATGTGTTTGCAGTCACATCATGTTCTGATAAACCTGCCTTGAAAAATATTTTCTGAAAAAGCCTGTAAGCATTTTGGATTTGCGTTGACATTTGCTATCTATTACATGCCACAACAGTGATTTCATTCTTGAACTCTAAGAAACTGTCTTACCAGAGGTAGCCAAATATACTCAGTCACTAGGGGCCCTTCGAAATAATAGAAAAAAAACAAGGGTCATATTAGAATATCCAGCTTTACTAAATCTCTCGAGGACAAGGCATTTGGGTTTGGTTTGGGAGTTGTGGTGTTTTAGCTGTTGCCTTTGAGGTGTTTGATGATAGTGTCTTTGCAGCTTTTTGGGGCAGCAGCAAAAGTGAAACAAAAGCATATCCACTTCACCAACTCACAACACAGCCCTCATGAACTGTAACAGTCTTAACTGTGAAAGCTAAGAGTGACTCCTCTATCATCTAAAATGATTACTTTTAGAATTAGGAAATAATTGTATACTGAAATGGCTCCAGATTTTGCAGTCTCTCTGATTTGGTGTTATTGAAGTTAAAACTAGCTTTTAAATGTAGGAATGAACAGTCTCCTCAAAGTTTCAGATAGGCGTAGGTCTCTTCAGTATGTTTAAAGTGTTGTGAATCAGTTTTAGGGCTAAATTGAAAGCCAGTATCTGCAACTTTTATGTAAGATTTTGTTAATTAACATACACTTTCACTTGGGGGAAAAGAGATGTCTTTTGTGTTCCTGACACAACATTATATTTTCTTAAGGCTGCAACACTGATTCTGGTGAAAGATAAATAATTAAAAATATTTTGCAGAGTGAATCACAAAAACGGTAACCATAAATAGACTATAAAAGTAAACATAAGATAAAAATAAATACTATAAAGACCCAGGTAAGCCTGGACCAAAACATCTCTGTACTACATATTTTTTTATTTTAAGCAAGCATCTCTATATTATATTTTTAGGGGTCCTGTGCAACATAGTCTACTGAGAAGTGTCTCTGCCTGTGGCAGGAGAGTTGCAACTAGATGACTTTAAGGTCCCTTCCAACCCAGGCCATTTTGTGGTTCCATGAAGTGAGAAATGGCAAGGTCTTACAGAATAGTTTTGAAAAGAGTGAAGACATCAGAGATGCAGAGACACCTTGAATTAGTGGCCAGATATTGCATTTGGCAATGTACCGTGACTTTTACTCAAATTAGCTAAATCAGCTAAAATTGTGTGCTTTAGATGAAGTTAAGTCATTATGATGTGAAAAACACACCTCTAAAGCTGAGGCTACCCACGTCCAAGTGAAGACCCCTACCAACTGAATACCTGCAAAATGTATCATGAAATACATCAAACCAGGCAAAAGATAAATTGTGCAAGAGCTGTTAGGTAGGCATGTATTTAGAAATTAGATAACTGCATACTTAACGTATTTTGAAAGCATAATTATGCTTCTTGTCTGTAACCAGGTATGTTGGCTTTGTGGACTTAGCACCCAGAACACACCTCGGTGTGTCAAAACTACTTAACTGTGTGTGGTTTGGCACCCTGGGTGAAGGAACCCTGTCTTGGTACAACAGTGGCGGGTGTGAGAAGAAAGTTTTTTGAAACTGGGACTGCTCCAGTGCAAGTGCATGTTTGATAGCATTCTTTATTAGTGTTTGAAGAGGTCTTGCCCATGCTTCTTCAGCAGGGAGAGTTTCTTAGCTCTGCAGTGGTCAGTGGGAGTTCTTGGTGGCCATGAGTTATGTTTTAATAGCTGTTCTAATTGATATAGTAGGCAACACTGTCACATCACTGAGCCAAATTTAAATGTTTGAAAGCTTCCTCTCAACTTACATCTTTAAAATGTTAATTCTTTTAAAGAATTGTGGAGAATATGATGGTAATGCCAGTGGAACAGAGCTGTTTATTTCATCTCTGAGATCCAAGTGAATCTGTTTCCTGTGGGACCTACAGACTAATTCTCACAAAGGCAAAGTGCATAGAGAACAGGCCCTGGCCATACCCCCTTTGTTATCTTCTCTGAGTATGTCTGCACCAATGCATTAGCTCAGGTCAGTAGGACCACTTCACAAAAGCAATTCAGTGTGCCCTTTATGTCTATTTAATGTGCAGGTAGGAGACAGTGATAAGGGCACTGGTAGTAAAGGATGGGAGTGGGAGCTGTTGAGATTTGTACTGCCTCCTCAAGAGAGGGTCCAGCACTGGAAATAAGGGCGAGGAGGTGAAGCTCTCCACACTCACTCTCCTGTGGTCCTTCTCTGTTACATAGCTTTTTCAGTGCTGCTGAACCTATTTCACCTTGTTTTCTGCCTCCCTTTCCCAACTGTCTTTGATTCCCTTGTGTGAGGGCAGTCTCTTGCTGTCTGGTGGGTAATAACAATTTTTCTCCCAGTTCTTACTAGAAGCAAAGCCTTTTGCCTTTGAAAACAGCATGACTTGCCTGAAAAATACAAGTTATACATAACATAATATTAAATTTGGTTTTATACTGCTTTTTTTCCTTGTGTTTTTAGGGTGAATTGCAAAATAAGAATTGCAAATGATTAGGCAATAATGCTAGTAAAATATAATTTAAAAATCTATCTCTGCTACTCAGTATTGAGTAGTGTTACTGTTACTCGGTATTACCGTGTTTAAAACAGTTACCTTCCAGTTGCTCCAAACTGAACCATTCCAAGTATCCACAGTCATCTTGTTATATGTTATCTCTGTTTTCATGAAGTACTGCAGTCCAGGATGGGTCTATAAAACACCGTAAAGAAAAATAGTAGTTTTAGCACATCTGTGTCAATCCCTTCTATGACTTGTATTTTGGGAATAGTCAGCCTTTAACTATAATTTTTGCTTCTCAGTTGACATTCAGTGATGCTTCTGAGCCCCTTCCAATTCAGGATATCATATGTTTTTATGATGATTTGGTATATAAATACTTCATTCGAACTCTGTTATTTTAAAATAGAGATTAAAATAGGTAAGTGGCTAATTTGGTATTACTTCAGTTGACAGAGAAATTACTAATAATCTCTCACACTGCTTTCTACTTGTAGATCATTATGTTGTAAAATCTCTGCTGAGGGGCCCTCCAGAGGTTTGGCTGTTTAAGATTGCTTACCGAGCTGCCAGGAAGTTAATGCCCAGTGGTGTGTCAGGACAAACTTCGGTACAGTTGAGGACATTCCAACTTTTTCCGTAGCTATTTTGCAAACGGAGCTCTTGGCAAAGCTTTTTTCCAAAGCTTCCTACTGACCAAATGTTAAGAAGAGAAGCAGAGTTATGCAGTAGCTTAGTTTGGTGAGGAGACCTGAGCAGAGTTTGATGAGGGAAGCTGTGCAGGATACCTTCAGTTTAACCATAAGATAAACTTGTGTGAGTGAAGGGAAAAGTAATTTGTTTACCTCTTGCCTTAAAAAAACAAAACAAAAAACCAAACTTTGCTGTAGTGTAAGATCTTGTAACATTTCAATATTTCTATTTTTTTCCTCTTTTTTTAGGGTCCAGGTATATCTCATCCCTATGATAGTGGGCACATAGCTATGACTTACACAGGACTATCATGTCTAGTTATTCTTGGAGATGATTTAAGTCGAGTAAATAAGGATGCCATACTGGCAGGACTGAGAGCTCTCCAGCTGGAGGATGGAAGGTAAAAGATATTTTATATGCTGCAACTCCCACAACCCACATGTGAAATGAAACATAGGAAACATGTTTTCTATAGAAGTAGCTATCTTTTTGTTCCATTAGAAAATAGTTTTATTGGTAGTCATGTAAGTCACAGAACATATGCTGGTGTCTTGCAAGTAGTTAAGTTATCAGAGGATATAACTAGCTCCTCAAACCAAATGAAGGTTTGCCAAACAGCAGATCCTAGAAGAAACAGTTAAAGGTTTGTTTATTGTCAGAGGTAATTCAACCATTTACCTGTTTTTTATATTGCAGAGGCATTTAGGCTGAAAAAGACCCTTGAGATCATGATGTCCAGCTTTTAACCCAGCACTGCCGAGCCCAGCAGTAAACCATGTCCTTAAGTGCCACATCATGTCTTTTAAGTACCTTCAGGGATGGTGACTCCACCATTTCCCTGGACAGCCTGTTCCAGTGCTAGACAACCCTTCTGATGAAGAAATTTTTTCTAATACCTTATCTAAACCTCACCTGGTGCAACTTGAGGCCATTTCCTCTGTCCCACTTGGGAGAGGAGACCAACCCCCACCTTGCCACCTTTCAGGTTCTTGAGTCCTCTCAGTGTTCTTTTCTCAGGGATGAACACTCCAAGCTCCCTCAGCTGCTCCTCATCAGATTTGTGCGCCAAACCCTTCCCCAGCTCCACTGCCCTTTCCTGGACATGCTCCAGCTCCTCAATGGTCTTCCTTGTTGTGAAGAGCCCAAAAGAAAACACAAAGCTCGAGGTCTGGCTTCACCAGTGGCCAGTGCAGGGAATGGTTACTGTCCTGGTTCTGCTGACCACTTTCTGTTACAAACGTCCAAATCAGGGCATCCATTGTCGTCTTAGGAATCTCTGAGAATGTGCCAAAATAACCCAGATGCAAAAATTTTAGAATCTTCATAGAGTTTGGTGAGATTGTTACAATAACTAATGAAAAACTGATTCACCATTTGTATTAAAAATTATAGTATTAGCAATTACCTTTATACCTACCTGGGAAACTAGTCCTCAAATTGCAGTAAGGAAAGAAAGCCTTGTGAGCTATTAGGATTCCTAGGAAATCAAATTATTCCACCCAAAAGAGATAAAATGGTAAGTCATGTATCTGTATATACTGTGATAGGTGAATCATCTTGGAACAGGTGAAACATCTTGGAATAAATAAACACTAGTGTCATTATGTTGCTGGAAATAGTTACTCAGGCTCCTAAATGTTTATAGTTCTATGCATTTTCCTTGGCTTAGAATCACATCTTCTAAAAAGAAAATCTAGTATAGCTTTGGGTTATATTTATGAGACTACTGTAAAATAATCTGTAAAGAAAACACTGTGCAATTCCTTGAACTGCATTTTATATTTTCTGGTGTAACAGGCAAAACAGTGTCTAAAGACACAAATGTTTCTTTCAGTTTCTGTGCAGTGCTGGAAGGAAGTGAGAATGATATGAGGTTTGTGTACTGTGCTTCCTGTATCTGCTACATGCTCGATAACTGGTCAGGCATGGATATGAAGAAAGCAATAGACTACATTAGAAGAAGTATGGTGAGTGTTCACAAAATGTTACTTCTTCCTATGCTTTAAGGCATATAGCTTTTTTTCTTAACTATGGCTAAAAAAAATCTCTGTCCAAACTCTATTATGGTAATTTCTTTTTTTCTTCCTGCTATAGTGAGTTGAGAATTACAAAGTATGTTGGTTTTTTGCATTTGTATTTTCGTTAAAATGTATCTGCTGCCAAGATAAATTTATTTCATGTGTTTGTTCACTGCAAATTAAATTTTAAATCCTCTTTATTTAAAATAATTAAACAATTGAAAGCAAGTTTTTGAAAACTGAGGTATGATATTTATGTCACTTAAAGCACATAAAGTGCTTTGGAAAAGTGTATCAATAAGATCCTCACATTTCATTGAGCTGTAGTACTGTTTTTTAAATGATACACAGATTCAAATAAACGAATTACTGACATCAGTTCATGCATAAGTGTTTCCAGCCATGCACTTCATAATTTATTTATTAGATACTTGGAATGAAAAAAAAATATTAATGACTATGTACACTTTTTTTTTTTGTGTCTGTGCAAGTTGTCTTCATATTTAATTGGAGTAAAGGAGCTTTCCATTTTTTTTCATGTTGCTTCATTAGTTTAATTGAGTTACATTTTCAAAGATTGAAACACAATTTTTTTAAGGAAGCTAAATAATCTTGAAAATTGCACTTCCACGAGTGTGAGTAAACACAGATTAAACTCTTGTGGTCCACAAAGAAGACCCAAATTTATGATGACACACAGCTTCTGTTGTAAATGAGCATTTTCAGTACTTGCTGCCAGCAGCAAGATTGTAAAATTTATGTGAGAAACAAATTTTTAAAAAGACTTCAAAATCTCCTGCTTCAGACCAAACTGTTTTTTATTTGTTGTTGTTTATTTTTAAAGGAGGCAGTCGGATGTCTTAATATTTCTTACTGTACACCTCAAGAAGCTTTCTGGCACACTGCCATAGTCCTGGACAGACTGAGGTGATCAAGGCTGGGGCTCAGTCATACAAGGATATAGACCTGCTGTCTGGTCACACTTTAGTAGCACTTTTTATCCCATTTTCCCCTCTGTTTCCCCATACTTGTTCCTCCCCAGACTGATTTGATATTTCTGTTTCTTACCATTGGTTCTTTCCCTAGCCGTCCCATAGTAAGTTATGCTCACCCTGCATTCCCCAGGAAACAGTCCATGATAAGGGAATTTCTATACTGGAATCTTCCTCCCCTGCATCCCATAAGAGCCTTTCTCCCATAGTTGGTAGCTCACCTTAGTTAGCATGAGTTCTCAGCATGAGAATATCCCTGCTGAATCCTCTCAGTGGGTTTCTCCCAAGGGCAATGATTTATCCATTCTCCTTTCACAGTCTGACGGAGGAGCTTAGGCAGAGTGCTTGCTCTTACTGATTAGGTAGGGAGCATTCTTCCTCCTCAACCTTTCTGGGCATTAATGTTTACTGAGATCAGTCTTTAGTCAATAGCTTGTCAGAGATACCATAGGAGAATCAAATATTACAAAAGAATAGAAAACAAAACACAAGAACAAAGTCCTTATTGTAGTTCTGTACATCGCATCGCACGTTGTAAACATTTGAGTGCAGTTTTGGTCACAAAGGAAATGGTGAAACTAGGAAAGGGACAAAGAAGGTTGAGTTGAACTGTGAAAGGTATGAATCAGCTTGTGTAAAAGGAGTATTTAATATACTTGGAGTCTTTATTCCGGAAATCAGACTGTTAAGTAGACTGTGAAAGAGATATGTAAAGTAACGGGTAGCACTGAAAAAATAAAGGGAGTGAGAAGCCACTTACATCTTTCTAAGACAGAACAGACTAGAGCATCAGATGAGGCCATTAATAGAGCAGGCAAGTGGAGATTTTGTGAAAGTTGAGAGCTTTGAAATGGTAGTGGAGATTTACTATGTAGTGTGATTTTGAACCAAATTGATACTTTGTTTCTAGAGCTTAGCAGTAATTGCTGCTCTTGCAAATTCCAGTCATTATGTTCCTATTGGAAAAATTGGTACCATTTAGAAAAAAAATTAATAGTTGAAGCCTGAATATGGCTCAAGACATCTTGGAAGGCCTCCTACTAATACTTCCGTTCACAGTAAATTAGCACTGAGTCTTGGCGTGGTCAAAGTTCAGAAGACACTGTGGCTTGTCACAAAGATTGTGTCTTTTTCTGGGTAGCTCAGAGAGTAATTTAGAGAGATCCTATGAGCAGTGTTCTGTAGGCAGCAGTCATCCTAACATATAGAAATTCCAGCAAGATATGCTGTATTTTTGTGCAGGTTTACTGTGACTTGGTAGGTTAACTGTACACTGTGTTCAGTCGGACATTTTAAATTACTGGTGTGCTGTGAATTAACTGCAGAGTTGGTGTGCATGTGTACGCTCGTTCTGTCTGTGTTTTTTGAGTTTGCACTCCTTGGTCCACCAGTATTTCAGTGAACTAACTCAGTTGCAAGGTATCTGGCAATTCTAGGAAAAGACGCAAAATCTTTGCATCCTGCTTAGTCACATTTAGAGCTACAGATGTGTCTGAAGAAGTCTCAGACGTTCAGGGACTAGCCCATTGTGAAGATCATTTCACAGCAGTGGTTGTTCCTTCCTTTCATTCATTCATCTCTCCCCACCACTTTCCTTGAGATGTACTTCTGTTCAGTTAGCTGTCACAGGAGTCAAGTGTTTCTTAAAAGTGTATCTCATAAATAAATAAAATGAGCGTGGAATGTGGCATCCAAGAATGTTAGCTTGATTTCTCTCATTAAGATTTTGTAGATGGTGCTAAAACTAACCTGTAAAATGGAACCATTTAAATTCTGTTTGAGATTATTTCATTTGTTACTCCTTGTGTAAGTAACTATACAATTAATATAGCTATAGGCTTTATTGTAAATGCTGATGTAAATGCCGCAATATCATCTCATTCTGGCATTTTCATTAGTTACAGAACAGAAGAGATTGCATTGCTCAATACCAAACTGCTTTGACAGAAAGGTGTGGTTTTGATTTACTGTTGTATGTCACTCATTCGCACCTAGATGAAGCACATGGCAGTTAACAGAACTTTTCTGTTTGGCATGAACAGAACTTTTCAAATTGGCTTGTAGGTGAAGTGCAACTGATCTGGATCGAGAGTACTGTGGCTGGTTAAACACAGTACTCTTTGTAATAAGCTTGTGGATTTTTTAGCTTATTCTTTGGAATTTGTTGCCCTTAGTGATAAGATTTGTGACATACAATTCAATACAGCTGAGTGAGGGAGTGCATTTGTGTAGTTAGGTAAATCAAGAACTGCAGGAGATTGGAACACAAACAATGTTTAAAATGCTAAAAAGAATTGAATTTCATACAGAATAGATAGCCTTCTTGTTTTCATTCGACTGAAAAGGTGTTTATACAATGCTGATCACAAAAGTAATTCTGGGCCAGTGTTGTCAGTAGAATAGTCAGATTCCAACACACAATTTTTATCAGTGTAGGTTGATTCTTGTCTTTCACATTCAAAACTCAGAAATACCATTAATCAAAAGACAACAGACACTAGGGATGCTGAGATTTTGAATGACTTCTAAAACACTGCTCTTTGCAACAATGCTTGGATTTTTTCAAAGTAGAGATATTGCAAGAAGCTTTAAAAATATAATCTGCTTCTTCTAGTATAGTCTTCTTCAAATGCAGTTGTATTGGTCTGTTGATATAATTAAGCTTGTTGTAAAACTTGTAAACTTTGAACTGAAGATTTTACCCAACTGGATTTACATGTTTCCTTAGGATAGTATTTAATTGTGCAGTTGTCATGTTGCAGTAATCAAAAGCTCCTTTTGCACACAATTTCTTGAGTCTTTTCAAAAGAGCAAAGAAATAAAAGTATTCCCTAGCTCTTTAGGGCACAGAGTCCCCAAAAAGCAGCTGCTGTCCATAAATAAATAGGTGCCAGTTAGCCAAGGATCAGCTATTGTCTATTAGAGTTTAAAGCTGATTGTACAGTCCAACATAGGAGTGTCTGGGATGCACACTTAACAGCTTTTCTCCAGAGCTAATTACTTTGTCATACAAAAAGCAAGCCAGCTCTTCTTAAAATTGCTGTTTATAGAGTTAATTAGCTTTGCCAGCATAGCTTTGCTAATCAGCTTGCCTTTTCTTAGCAAATAATGCCTCTGTGGAGTGTGGTAGCACATTTGTATTGCATCTCAAAAGGCAGTGAAAAAGGAAGAGTTCACGCTGTGTGCTTTAACATTCAGAAGTTCATAGAGGTTACTGAAATCTACTGGTTCAAACTTTTTACTGGTTCAAACTTGAGAAATCAAGCTGCAGCTTGAAGTGTATTAGTCTTTTTAGTTGCTTCAGCTTGCAGGATCAACTCAAAACCAGGAACACAGTTTTAATGTAGCTTCTGTTCTTCTGTTTACGTGTTTCTTCTCAATGTCGGCTTTAAAAGCAGATGTACAAAATAATTCTTAGGTAAGTTCTGAAGATGTGATAGTCCTGTAGCCATTCTCTGGTTAGGACTATGGGAGTCATTAGTGGTTTGTCAAAGTGTCCTGTATCTACTAGCCACTGTTTTAGAGAAAACGTGAGAAATTCACAGTCAGCACCTGGAGGATGTGAGGGAAAGATTTTTGCTGCTTTCTGTCTGACCAGATACTGATCCAGTCATTAATTGAGCAGTTAATGTAGAATATGTAGGACCTATGTAATTTAACTTCAAAAGTTATACATCATTGTTCCTACTAAGCAATTTGGTATTAGTTCAGAGATAATTCAGTAAGTATTCTATGAACTCTTGTAAAATAAACATTTTCCATTTTATGAATAATTCTATATGATCCTCTGTTTCTTTTCATGTAAAATGATTTAATGGATTTTTAGGGAAGAAAGATTATTATTCTTACATATATGTGTTTTCCTAGATTTCTCATGACAGGTGTGAACTGTGATATTCTTGGTGCTTTGTCAGACTTGAGTTTCTCCTTTTGTTGTGCTTAACAGTCATTTTTCATCAGTGTAACAGTGGTTTTTAACAGTAGTATTTTATAGGCCAATTTACGTTTATTCCAATGCATGTTATAATTTTCTTCTTGCTTCTGTCTCCCTTCTCATTTTTTTACAGCCTGATGTACTTGCTTCTTACTAAAGTATTGCTTTGATTTGAGTATTCTACACACAGCAGTACCTTGCATTTTATGTCTTTTTTAATGCTACACTGCTCTTGTATTAGAGACAGATTAAATTACGTATTTAATTTTGTTTTGTTCTGATTACATATCCATTTTTCCTTTTTATACCTGTGTTACTTGCTTTTTCCTTTGTGGCAAAGATATGCTTATCCTTTTCAGGTTCCTAACATATGTCACAACTAAAATTAATTCTATGAAAGTCATAAAAACTGCCTGCGTTGAAAAATGTCTGATTTCTTAGCTCTGTTGTGCCAGGAACTTTTGGAGGTTCAGAATTTAATCAGATTAAATTGTGGCAATGATCTGACGATAATTTTACTGGTAAACTAAGGAATTGCAATGTCTGTCAAAGTTCTGTGATTCTAAAGTAATTGCTTTGTGGGATTTTTTTTCTTCAGTCTTATGATAATGGCCTGGCACAGGGAGCTGGACTGGAATCTCATGGTAAGAATGTCAAAGTATTCTACACCTTTCAGAGTGGTATTGAAAATGCTGTAGGAAGAGCAGGGTATGCCATAGCTTTCCTTCTTTTCTGATTTGTCAGAAAGTGGTGTGAGAAGGAGCAAATACAAAGCATGCCTCCAAATACCACTTATTTTTCCTTTAAATCTAGCTTAATATCTGGACAGGCTCTTAATCACCTCCATTAATTTACTTCATGAGTGTTTTGTTGAAAGGTGTTGCTTGTAGTTCTCAGCTGTTGCTGATAGGGCAAACTTTGTTACTCTGACGATTTTACCTGCCAGAGATTTTGTGCAATGTAACCGATCATTTCCAATTTCAACAGCTTTGGAAAACCTAGAAACATTTCCTCCGATAAATACAGCATCTGTTATGGGTTCAAATTTTGAAGCAAGAGTTGGTAGATCTGAAGATACGAATCCCCAAGACACTGCTGCTTTTAATAAGCAAAGTGTTTTTATGCATGTAAAGTAGCAGTCTGCTTGTGACAGAGGAGCTTTTGACTTTTGGGTAACTGATACTAAATCTAGTGCTGTGGTCTGTTTGACAAGATGGTGTTTTGTCAAAGGTTGGGCTTGATGATCTTGTAGGTCTTTTCTAATCAAAATGATTCTATGATCCTATCAGATGTTTGCTATCTTTATTCTTAGTCTTGAGCTTTGATAGGGTTTTGTCTGTTTCCTTCTTGCTGCATCAATAAAGCTGAAAAATTTGAATTCTACCCCTAGATATTAAAAAATTGGTTAACTAACTTTCTGTAGAATGTTAGTGATTACAAAGATAACAAAGAAAGTGATAACAAAGAGCAGTACTTCAGCACTGTATTTCAGCATCAGAGTGAAAATAATTTTACAGCTCCTGGGATCTTCCAGAACCAGGATATTGTAAAGAACTTTGGGGCCTGAATCACCTGTCAGCAGCTTGCTTCTGGTCTTTCCCAGCCTCTGATTTTATCATATCAGTTATTAGACTCTAAATAAACTTGGAAGGGCTTTAAAAAGTCATGGCAGGGCAACACAAAGAACATGAGTTTATCTTTTTAACCATACAGTTTCCTTGACAGAAAAAAAATCCTTAGAAGCACAATTTACAATTTGTATGTATTACAGCCATGAGAGTCCAGGAATCTTTTTCACCATATTAACTGTAAGCCGTTTTTCTTTTTAGTTTTTTTGTTTTGTTTTTAATAATTTTAGTTTGATTTTCTTTTTCTTCTTCTGTTCACCAGACACTTCTGTCTGTTTATATCCTCTGGGGGATTGTGTATGAGGCTGGCTTTGGCATCTCTGCTTCAGTCTGATTGCTGGCATTCCAATAGATTTCTTTTTTAAGTTACAAGCGAAGAAATATTTCTGTTGCAATGCCATTTATTTATTTCTGGACTTCTATGTAATGTAAATTGAGCAGCATTGAGAGAAAAAACAACTTTAGGAAAATGAGCTGGTTTATTTCTCCAAGAGCTGGGTTGAGGGGGTTTTCCCCCCCCTTTGACATACCTGCTGAACTAGAATGTTCTTATTTATTTGGATTTTAGACTTAAAATTAACTTTTTCTTACTTTTAGAAGTTCATTGATTTAATTGCCAATAACTTAGTTAAAATTCTGACTGAGATCATAAAGGCTTCAGAAAATCTGTGTGTCAAAGCACTGGAAACCCTGTTCTCTGTTCACAGGTGGCTCTACATTTTGTGGTATTGCATCACTGTGTTTGATGGGCAAACTGGAGGAAGTTTTTTCAGAAAAAGAACTGAACAGAATTAGAAGATGGTGTATAATGAGGCAACAGAATGGCTACCATGGACGACCCAACAAACCTGTGGACACTTGCTATTCCTTTTGGGTGGGAGCAACATTGAAGGTAGTATACAGAATAGCTATAAGGAGTAGTTATTGACTTGTTTTGATTGATTTAAGCACCATTTTCTTTGCTTGGAAGAGTTAGATATTTGACCAATATATGCTCCAATATGCATCAATGCCTATAAATGTCTTTTATCTTGCAAAAAATACAGGAAATTGAGGTCTACTAAATTAGTGTTATCTATGGTGTCACACTGCTTATCTCAAAATAGGCACTATATTCTAGTGTTAAAAATATACTAAGACTTAGTTAAAGATTTAGTGCTAAAAATATACTAAGACTTTTATAATTGTTACATTCTAATTTCTTTTCAGCTCTTGAACATATTCCAATATACAAATTTTGAGAAAAACCGAAATTACATCCTGTCAACTCAAGATCGTCTTGTTGGTGGATTTGCCAAGTGGCCGGACAGCCATCCAGGTAAACTTCTTAAAATTGCAGTGAGTATGTTCTAAGTAAGAAGTACATTCCAACAGTCAGTCATCTGAGAGATGTAAGGGAAACCATACCCTTCAAAAGAATAACCAAAAAACCCCCCCTGAAAATATAATAAGGTTTTCATTCTTGAAGTAGAAAGAGGGAGGTGAAGTTTCTCCTTGTTCAGCCACAGAGGAAATGAGCTGTTGTTTAGATTACTATTAAAAGAGTATCACTGTTTAACTGTTCTGCTTAAAGGCAATATTGTATTATAGGTATCTCTGTAAATTGAGTTTAAGTTATCAAAACATTTGTTTCTTTAGTAAATTAATCATTTAAGGTTGTCGTGGTGGGCTCTGGGGTACTGGTGGAGTGCCATGACATTCTAGAGAAGCGTCCTAAGGAGGACGTTCTCTGGGCACAGGTGCGTCCTCCGTGCTCACTCCCAGGAGAGTGATTTCAGCTCTTTTGGGAGCTCTCCGCTTTGGCCAGCACAGGAGGAAAAGATGGGAGCCGCCTGTGGTGGTCCAAGGAGAAGCTTTATTCTTCTTTCCTTGAAGGGGTCTAGAGACGAACTGGCTTGAGGGAGTCTGAGGGAGCAGGATTGATATAGGAAAGCCAGGGGTCAGGGTAGAGCATTAAACCAATCATCTGAGGGCTCAGGGGCGGTACAAAGGGGAAAGGGCCAATGGGGTACAGGCAATTTAAATGAAATACGGAGGCATGCTGGGAGTAATTTTTGTAACCATTACTACGAGGGAGTGCTGAAGGGCAAAACTTCCAGGGTAGAGGGACGGCACCTTTTACAGAGAGGCTTTCAGCCTCCATGTAAGGTTACACAGAAGTCATTGATATATGCAAAAACAGTCAAAATTTACACAGTTGTATACTATGATTTACAGGTTGTGGTCATATGAGTATGTCTGAAAGCTAGTTATGCTTTCGGAAGTAGATAGTTTGAAGTAGTGGAAAGAACTCAAAAGAGTACTAAAATCTTTTAATTTTAAAAGTTGTTAGAATTCAATTATGGTAACTTGGGAAAACAAAGCTTATGCCAGTAGTGTTTGCCCATGACATTTTGTACAGGGAAGATAAAACTTTAAACTGACCAAATAAGACAAAAATTTAGTCATAGTAAAGGTACAGTCTGTTTAGTATCTGTGCGCTGATATTTAATCCTTTCATAAATTCATTTTGAACAACAGTTCAGAACTTTTCAAGGTGAACCCACTACTTGTGATAGATTTGCTTCTGCTCTTCTCTGAAAAATAGTTTAGGATTTCTGAAGAATTCTGAGGAATTTAGATGTATTTACTCCTCATTTGTATCATTTGGAGGGAGTATTTTAGTTTATCTTAATGAAACATTTACCTTGTGAGTCAGAGATTTAAAAAGCTTTTTTCAAATACCTATAATGTGTCAAGTGCCTTAACCTGTCTTAATTTCCTTTATGACAAGGTTGCCCCCTCTAGTTGACCAAGGGAAGCCAGTTGATGTAATCTAAGGCTTTCAATACTTCCAGGATCCTACTGGACAAACTGTCAAACACGTCATGGGGTGGGGGAGCAACTGCTGCACGCATTGGGCAAAAAGGGTTATAGTGCATGACGTGACATCAGTCTGGTGACCTGTCACTATAGAGGATCCACCCTGTGCTCTTCAACATCTTCATTAATGACTTGGATGCAGGACCAGAAGGAATACTAAGTGAGTTCACAAACAACACTAAATTGGGAGTAGCTAGTGACTCCCTTGAGGGCAAAGAAGTCTTGCAGAGAGGCGTTGACAAATTAGAGAGATGGGTAGTCACCAACCATATGAAATTTAACAAGGGCAAGTCCTGCATGTGTGGATAGACTGGGAAACAAGAGGCTGGAGTGCCCTGCTGCAGAAAGGGCCTGGGAGTCCTCGCCGATGGCAAGTTGAACATGAGCCCGCAGTGCCCTGGCAGCCAGGAGGGCCAGCATGGTCCTGGGGAGCATCAGGCACAGCATCACAGCCGGGCAAGGGAGGGGATTGTCCTGCTCTGCTCTGCTCTGCTCTGGGGCAGCCTCACCTCCAGTGCTGGGGGCAGGTCTGGGTGCCACAACACAGAAAAGACATTGAGCTGTTGGAGAGTGTCCAAAGGAGGGCCATGAGGATGGTGAAGGGTTTGGAGGGGAAGCCAAAGGTGTGAGGAGTGGCTGAGGGCACTTGGTCTGTTCAGCCTGGAGAAGGGGCACCTGAGGGGAGACCTCACTGCAGTTACAGCTTCTTTGGGAGGGGAAGAGGAAGGGCAGGCACTGATCCCTGCTCTGTGGTGACCAGTGATAGAACATGAGGGAGTGGCCTGTAGTTGAATCAGGGGAGGTTTAGACTGGATATTAGGAAAAGGTTTTTCACCCAGAAAACCCAGGGTGTTTGGGCACTGGAACAGGCTCCTCAGGGAGATAGGCACAGCACCACTCTGAGAGAGTTCAAGAAATTTTTGGCAATGCTCTCAGGCACATTAAATGACTCTTGAGGTATCCTATGCAGAGCCAGGAGTCCGACTTTGATCACCTTTGTGGGGTCCTTCCAACTCAGGGTATTTTATGATTCTATGATTCTGTCTTTTAGCACAATTGTGACTGTTTGAGATAAGATTTAAGAAAGGCAAGACAAATAATTGTTCTTTGCTGTATGTGTGCATGTTTGTGTATTTTCCAGGCTTACTGTGGCATTTTTTTCCTTAGGCAGATGGTGGCATAAGTCTGTGGTCATGTTTTGATGGAAAAAGTAAAAAGTTAGTGCAGTTCTGATATTAAGAAAGACTGTAAATGTGACACTGCAAAGATTGCTTCTGAGGACTTGTGTTTTCATTGTTATAGATATGCAGCAGAGCTTCCTGCAAGCTCAATCTCATATATGAAAGGCAAGCTGTCTTTCAATCATGTCTACACTAGAAAGATTCCTAAGGCTTAATCAGAATTAGATTTTAACTTCTGTTGCTTCTGCTTTATAAAAGCTCTGTTTAGATTTGGGGACTCAAGCGGTCTTTACTGTGCAATAATGTTTTTTAGGAAGAAGACTAGAAGAAATTTCAGAAGACAGTCAATTACTTGTGATAATCTATGTATTATATGGACTTGAAATGTTAACAAGTAACTCTTTCCAGCTGATTATTGAGGGAAATACTATTTTGTAGTCTTGCTGTGTTCCCATGCTAACAGACATCAAAACTTTGTTGGTTTTGGAGGCCACTAGCGTTTTTTAACACCAAACTGATAGGGCAGGAAGTAACAGCCTCAGGTTACATCAGAGGAGGTGTAGATTGGATAGTAGGAAAAATTTCTTCACTAGAAGGGTTGTAAAACATTGGAACAGGCTACTCGAGGCAGTTTGAGTCACCATCTCTGGAGATTGATATGCTATGATATATGATATGATATGATATGATATGATATGATATGATATGATATGATATGATACTTAGGGACATGGTTTAGTGCTGGTCTTGGCAATGTTATGTTAAGGACTGGACTCTGATCTTAGAGGTCTTTTCCAGCCTAAATGATTCTGTGATCATTTTAGTGAGATACTAAATTTGACACCTCCACAGAGTGCTCTGTGTTGAGATTTTGCAAGGGGCACATGAAATTCCCATTGTCTTTCGATCTTTTGCCTGTGATTTCATGGGCAGATAATCCAATCTGACAGTATGCTGCTACCCAGAGGAGGCAGATTCAGTGAGCTGTAACCCTGGTATAAGGTGGGCATCAGGAGTAGCATGGAACAGAAGAGTACGAGTTTCACATTCTGGTGGCAATCATCTCTTGATCGAGCTGCATAAATTCCTATCCTTAGGGTAATCTCGCAGGAAAAAGGGAAGATAGGAAAAGTGATGGTGTCTTCAACTTGTCTAAGTCTTGTGGTTGGCAGCTATTGGCACTGATTTTGTTGTTTCAGTAGTTAGCTGCTCATAAAGTAACAGCCAAAAAATGCTTGCAAGAAAAAAGAAATTGCTTTCCAAACTGGTTTTCAGATACTCAAATAATTTTTCTTTTTGGTTGTGGCACTTAGTAAAAATAAAGTAGTGAACAAGTTGTTATAAAAGAAAACTGGATGTTAGTTCATGCTGGTAGCTTTGGACAGAAATTTTTTCCTTCCTATTTGTTTTCCTTGGCTCTAATTACTCAGAGCTGTTTGAATATGGGAACACTTGGCTGTTGCAGCCTGAAATAATTTTATTTTTTCTTTTCTGTCCTTCTTTCAGATGCTTTACATGCCTACTTTGGGATCTGTGGTTTGTCATTAATTGGGGAATCTGGTATTTGCAAAGTTCATCCTGCCCTGAATGTAAGCACAAGAGCATCAGAGCGTCTTCACCACCTTCATCAGATCTGGAAAACACGGACTTTAAACAGCATTCAGACGGCACACACCTCTCTACATGACTGATTTAGACTTGAATTTAGTTCTGGTAGCATAATTGTAGCCCAGGGTTAAAAGCCATGCATAACCAATGTGCTCTTTTAAGTGCTGGAGTCATACAATCAGATCTGTGTTGCTGGCATCACTTTGATAGGGAGTTGCCTTCAGCAGGTTATTCTGCATTGTGAAAAGGGGAATATTTTGTTTATATAGAAGTTTGTCACCGCAGACTGTAAATGGCTTTTCAGATGGCTTTACTTCTAAGAAATCCCTTGAGGCATTTAAACTTCATTTTAATTTTATTTTTTTAAATTTGTGCATACTGTGTCAAACTATATAATGGGGAGTATTTTCAAAATTGTTTACATATCATACAGTATAGCACAGAACATTGAAGTTCTTTATAATCTTACTATTTGACATATTTTTGGGTAGAGAATCTCTCATATTAAGTCTCAGTTAAAAGTTGCCTATTACCAACTTTCAGATTCCATAAACTTTGTTTTTCACAAACAAATTAATTAAATACAAATAAAAATATTTTATTCAATATACTGGACTTTTAAAGTTGTGTGGCCTTACTAAGTGGATTTCATAATTCTTCTGAGTAGGTTTTACACAGATGCAGTGGATTGTTAGCCAGACAAAGAGTTTTGATCTGAAGTAGTTTCTTCATGTGAAGTTCACTAAGAGTGTGGCATATTGATTTGTGTTAATAAGAGATATTCAACCCAGTCTTTTGGAAGCATACCTGTATGCAAGAGTAGCATTAGAACCTGCTTCTAAAGACAAACCTTTGCAATACGTTGAAGTTGTTAAATTAGAGTAATGATTAACATTTGCAGCTTCTTTAGTGCTTTACTAGTGCCTTACTTTGTATGCTTGAAGTGCTGTTCAGAGTTGAAGCAAGTAACTTTGCAGCTGGTGTGTTTGTGGCAGGTCAGTTTGTGCATTCAGTAGACACCACAACGTCTTTCTACTTGCCAGTCATTAACAGCATTTTTTTTTCTAAAGGTTCCAAAGACAACTGAAGACTTCTTAAAACAGATTAGGAGCACCATTTGCCACTGCTGAGCCCAAAGAGACAGGATGTGTAGACCATTTTGGCCAGCAAAAAGAGTTTTGGGGATAAACATGATTCCTGTTTTGCAATGCAGGGCAAGTGGAAAACCTCTTATTGTCCAAACCTGTAGCAGCCTTCCTACCTAAATAAATAAGTTGTATTTCTATAGCAGATTAATTTACGTGGCAGCATTGGGAGCATAACTAGTGATAGAGATCTGCTTGGAAAAGCACAGGGCGAGCAGGGTAAGGTGTGTGATCTAGACATGTTTGCTTAAGGAAGAAGAGACTCAGTTGTTGGGAAAACTGGGAAGTTCAGAGGGGTTGGAACCAGGAGAGCTATGAGGCTAGTACTGGAGAGGGGGAAGTCGGGTGCTTGAGTAGGACTATTGTAGACTAGGAGAAATGAAAACTGGGAGATACTGAGGCTGGAGACAAGAGCAAAGAATGTGGAGTAATAATGGAACCAAACTGGTGGAAAGGATTTGAACTGCCTAGGGTAAGATTAGGGAGCAAAAGAAAGGTACTGACTCAAGGAACATGAAGAAGTTAAGGGGGGAAGATAGAGCCTAGGAATTGGTTTTATTGCCCACATGCTAGGATGACCAGAAATCCAGCCATAAGTAAAAAGAACTAGCCAGATACCTAAAAGAGAGAATCTCCCAGGCAGTTTCTGTGGGAATCACGTTTTCCTGGGTAGGCTTAATGGGATGTTGGTCAGCAAAGGCTGAAGTAGCTTCCCTGAGCAGAAGTCTCGTAAGTCATGGAGGTCCATCTAGATGAAAACCCATTTAAAACCAAACAACAAAAATCTTGAAGTAAAAATTGATCAAAAAAGCATGATGTTTTCTTGTCTTTACATCGGATGGTGACCACAAATTGACTTCATGGTAGGATAGGATGGGTTTCTGGAACATGGTGTAATTACAATGAAAATGAGATGTAATTGTAGCCGCCCATCCCCACCACTGTTTCTCTGCCTTGCTGGTGAACCATCTTTGAGTTTTTTAGCATTTACACATACCCTATAGAGGGAGTAGCTTTGAATTTCAGAAGAGTTGAATAAGGTGTTCTTAGTCTCTGCTGGGAAACAGCCTAAATATTTGTACTTACTTAGCTTCATGAGAAATTGTATATTTGATTGTCATGAGGCAAATACATACTTGCACAATCCTAAACTATGGATCCTGAGTTACCAGATTCTCATCTGAGAGACATCAGGGTCCCTCAGCAGAAAATATGGGGATAACAGTGAAAAATCATATTATGTGAACAAGTAATTTAACAGTTATCTGCCTCAAAAAGCAGGTAACATTTCTTGCTATGTTTTCTGTATCTGTAAATTACCCTGACTTCTTCATATGGATTTTACATTTCTTATCTCCTTGGCCTCCAGTTGCTCTACATCTTTTCAGGCTGCATGTTGACAGCAGAGCTAGCCTTTCCCAAAAGTTGCACGAGGCGTATTTGTTTCTCATTAACTCCCAAAGTTTGATGAAGGCAGTAAAATATCTGTGCTTTCACCTCACACTGAGTATCTAATTACTTTAGTTCTTTTGAAATCTTTAATCTTTTTTAGGTTGACAAAACGCAGTAATAATAACCAACTCTGCATTCATGATTTGTCATTCCAAATGTCCCAATTGATGTCAGGCAAATAAATGATGAACGTTCCTGTGTAGCAGACATCTGGATTCTGACTGTATTGAATTGCCTCTCTGATTTTTGTGGTTTATTGTGTCTTCTGACTAGAAAAATGTTAAATGAGGAATCGGTGAACAAGAGTTTCACAGAAATCCATAACTTTTAAAGGGGATACATCAAAATAGACCTAAAACTTAAATGTGGACTGTGAAATTTAAATGTAGCTAGAAAAGTAAACCATGTGATTATTACCTACCTCTAATGATTTTGTGTTAACCACAGCTTTACATTGCTGAGACTGAACCTACATAAGAAATTAATGCATTAAATGGCTTTACCATGTGCTTGAGGATATAAAATCAGGCTGACAAATGTGAGTGCCTCTATTCTATCTGAAACACTCCCAAACTCTGTGTGTCACCCAAGTTTCTTTTCTAGAAAAACAGCTTTAAAATGAACAAAGGAACAAAATACTGAACAAAGGAAGTCAAATGTATCTTTTCCATAGGATCTGAGGACTGGGGATTTAAACATTGTCACATTAGGGCTTTCAGGCCCAATTGATCTGTACATAGCTGCTGGCAGATATGGTAACCATTTTGGAAGGCTGCTTCCAAGCATGTTTGTATTTATGAATTTTCATATTGAGAACTTTTCTAAATGGAACAATCATCATCATTGAAAAAATCTAGCAAGTAAATTGGGTATTGCAGAAATACCTGAAATACCTTTGCTGAAGCACATACTAAGAGTACCTTCCTCTATGCTGTATTGCCCAAGGTAAAAGACAACCTGAGAGGAGCTAAAGAAGCTGAATCAAATGTGCTTTCTCCATGGATGCCAGTATAAAAATTAAATCCTCTGTAGAAACTGTTGTGTTCTCTAAAAAATACATTTCAACTTTGTGCCAAGTGAGCCATTCAGTATGGGATTGCCTAATAAAAAAGGGAAGAAACAGTGATTTCCAAAGTCAGATCCTTTTATGGACAGCCCATCTCCTGGCATTTTGGAGAAACCCTGCTATCAGTGTCCCTGTGGAGGTCAAAGAGATGTCAGGACATGTGTGAGGAGCAGAAAGACCCTAGGTAAGAAGATGCTATTGCTGTAACTAAATATGAGACATCTCCAAAATTGATCAGCTGAATGAGATTATTGGTCTGTTTACGTTGATGTTAAATACTGTGGTGGTTATAAAAAGCTCTTTTTTTGCTGTTGCAAAAAAAGACCACTTAACAAGTTTTCCTCACTTCAGATGACATTGGGTGAAAAACAAGATTGTCTGCACATCTTTATACTAAATGGTTATTAAATTACTCCACTGAGTGGTAACAGTGTGTTGTAAAGTTACACTTTCCGTTCACCATTTTTAAGCTTTTGTGTTCCTGGTCTCTATTTGCCTGATTAGTTTCTGAGTTTAATAAAAATCAATGAACTGTTGGGAAACAGAGGTAAAACTCTGCAATTTCTTTTGAACTGTAGCTCTTGTTATGTCTTTTTTTCCAAGTTACATGTTCTGAGTGAGTACCTGTCTTCCTGAGGGCACAGAGAATGACAACCCCCAAAGGTTTTCAAGATGAACCCACCAAAGGCAGCAAACCCTGACATTACTGCATTATTTTTGAGGCATTGGAAAAGTGCCTTGTTTGATAACTGCATTGTGATAACATGGAATCATAGAATGGTTTGGGTTGGAAGGGACCTTAAAAATCATCTGTTCCAACCCCCAGCCATGGGCAGGGGGACCTCCCACCGGATCAGGTTGCTCAAAGCCCAATCCAACCTGGATTTGAACACTTCTAGGGATGGGGCATCCACATTTTCTCTGGGCAACGCTTTTCCCAGTGCCTCACCACCCTCACAGTGAAGAATTTTTTCCTAATATTTACTCTCCCAGCTTTAATCCATTCTCCCTTGTCCTCTCTTTACAAGCCCTTGTAAAAAATCCCTCTCCAACTTTTTTGTAGGGTCTCTTTGCGTACTGGAAGTACTCCTGCTGCTATAGGTGTCCCCAGAGGCTTCTCCTTCCCAGATAAACAATCCCCTCTCAGCCTGTCTTCACAGGAGGGATGTTCTAGCCCTCTGACCATCTTGTGGCGTCCTCTGGATGCACTCCAAAAGGTGCATGTCCTGCTTATGTTGAGGATCCCAGAGATGAATGCAGCACTCCAAATAGGATCTCAGCAGAGCAGAGGGGCAGAATCCCCTCCCTCCCCTGCTGCCCACACTGCTTTGGATACAGCCCAGGACACGTTTGGCTTTCTGGGCTGTGAGTGCTCATGGCCAGGTGATGTCCAGCCTCTCATCCACCAGCACCTTCCAGTCCTGCTCGCAGGGCTGCTCTCAATGCCTTCATCCCCCAGCCTGGACTCCTGTCTGCAGGACCTTACACTTGGCTGCACTAAACTCCATGGGGTTTGCACAAGCTCTCTTCTCAAGCCTGTTCAGGTCCCTCTGGATGCCCCTTCCTTCCTTGTGGTGTGTGGACAGCACTGAGCAGCTCAGAGTCATTGGCACACTTGCTGAGGGTGCCCTCATTCTCACTGTCCCAGCTGCCCACAGGGATGTGGAACAGTGCCAGTCCCAATACCAGCCCCTGCGCAAGGCTGCTCATCACTGGTCCCTGCTTGGGCATTTAGGGTTGACCACAACTCTTTTGAGTGAGACCACCACACAGCCCATTCCTTATCCACTGAGTGGTCCACCCCCCCCCCCCCAGTTTAGAGCAAGGGTGTTACATGGTGCAAAGACTTTACACAAGTCTACCTATATTATGCCAGTGGCTCTTTCCACATCCTTCAGTCTAAGCCCATTTTAGAAGGCCACCAAAATTGTCAGGCACGATTTGCCTTTAGTGAAGCCAGGCTGGTTGTCACAAATCACCTATTTATTTTCCGCATGACTTAGCATAGTTTCTAGGAGGATTTGCTCCATGATCTTGCCTTCCACCAAGGTGAGATTGACATCCTTTAAAACGTTTATCTGTCAGTACAGGCTCTGTACTTGGGAATGGGACTGGACAAGCTGCTATGACTGGAAAACAAGTAGGATTCTCAGGAAGAATATGGTCCTGACTTGCCAAAAAAAGAGAAAGTTCATTGAGGAAGAGAAAATCTGTGTGATAACGATCTGCATGCTCTCACTTGGAGAATTAAAAATGTTCAAGAGTGAGCTTTCAACTTGCCACATAAGTTGTTGATATTAAATTCACAAATGCAAGGAGGGAGATATGAATGTAGCAGCTGTGTTTGGACAATTTTAGCCTGCTTGTGAAAGTGACTTCTGTGTTAACTCCTAACAGTGATGATAACCAAGCCCTAGTACAAGGGCCAGGAGCTCTCTGTTGTATTGAGTCTGGCTGAGTTGATATTCCCTTAGCAGCCCTCACAGTGTCTGTGCTTTGCACTGGCGGCTGGAAAGGTGCTGATAACACAGTTGTGCTTTGGTTGCTGCTGGGCAGT